TTTTATAAAAATGTTATTACCCTTTTAATTTTTTAAGTAATCTGTTGAAATTATATGATTATGCAGAAGAGATTATGGGATTAAAGTCTAAGCAAAAGGATTTGGATGAAAAGAGAAGAGGGTTGTTAAATAAGATATTGGACATTAAAGGTATTATTAGTATTATGAATTTGATTATTTTACAGTGGAGTAATGTACATTTTATTTGAGTTAGTTTGATGCTGATATTTCATATTAATGATCATATTAGGAAGCATTCGAGTATTTTGTAGAATTCGACCATTGTTATGGAGCAATATCAGCAAAAATGATGATCCTGTTGTAGTTGATTTGGATAAAGTTGTTGTTAAATCAGCTGGAAGCAAGAAGGGATTTGACTTTGACAAGGTGTTTTGTCAAAAATCAACTCAAGGTTAGCATTTTAATGTTTTCTTAGTGCAAATTAATGTAATATAAAGTTTTTCTGTTGTTTTGTTTGATCAGTATTAGTAAGATATTATATTGCTTATTATTCTGTAGAAGATGTATTTGTTGAGGTTGAACCAATTCTCAGATCTGCACTTGATGGGCACAATGTGTGTATTTTTGCTTATGGTCAAACTGGTACTGGAAAGACCTTTACAATGGTGAGATTTCTAAACTTCTGAGTCGGATTTTGTGATAGTTTTGTAATGGTACAAGGAAAGATCTGTTTCTCATTTTTGACATGAATCTCATGCATGAGTCGTGTTTTCGATTTTATAGGATGGGATGAATGATCAGCTTGGCATTGTTCCTCGAGCTCTTAGAGAGCTCTTTCACTATGCCTCTTTACATTCTACTGCTTCTGTTACTTTCTCTATGAGCATGTTGGAAGTTTACATGGGCAACTTGAAGGACTTGTTGGCTCCGAAACCAACTCGTAGAGCATATGAACCTGTATCACGATGGTATTTACATATTACTAATTGGCTCCATTCCATATTATCTGTTGACATAGTTAATTCTTGTTATTCCTTATTATCTGTCACTTATCTATGTTGGATGAATTACAGCAACCAGCTGAATGTTCAAGTTGATGCAAAAGGAGTTGTTGAAATTGAAGGCCTTACAGAAGTGCCCATCTCTGATTTCTCAAAGGCTAACTGGTGGTATACTAAGGGAAGACGAGCTCGTGCAACTTCATCCACTAATGTCAATGATGTGTCTAGCAGATCGCATTGGTGGGTTCTGCTTCCTATCCCTTTAAATACTGTGGTCTCTGTGTGTGCCTTGTTTTTACCTATTTATTCATTTAAGCCCTCTTATGCATTTCATTGGATTACTTTGGTGAGGCGTTTACGTTATCTGTTTTAAGTTTTATATATATCTAGCTTAATGAGGATCACCATTTCTCATCATGGAGATGCACCGGAAGGTCAAACAAGAACTAGCAAGTTGTGGATGGTTGATCTTGGAGGGAGTGAACGGTTGCTGAAAACTGGAGCTACTGGTCTAACATTAGATGAAGGGCGTGCCATTAATCTCTCACTTTCTGCTCTGGGTGACGTTATTGCTTCACTCAGACGAAAAAGAACTCATGTTCCCTACAGGTACATTGAAATACAGACTCAATCCATGTTTAAGGTAGTGGTTTTTTTCACTTGTTTTAATCATGCATAATCTAATAGAAGCCATCTATACATCTGCAGAAATAGCAAACTCACCCAAATATTGAGAGATTCGCTTGGTAAGTTTTGCATTACTTTTGTGCATGCTCAAAGATCAACTGTCAAGCCTGCAATTAATTTTTACTATATCTGTGATACCTACTTTCTGCATATATTATGATTTGGATTTTGTAGAACTCTTTTTGAAACTTATCTTGTGTTTTGTGTTCACTTGTTTTGTTCAGGAAATGAATCAAAGGTATTGATGATCGTGCATATAAGTCCTGTTGAAGAAGATCTAGGGGAGACCATTTGCTCTATGAGTTTCGCCAAAAGAGCAAGAGGCATAGAATCAAACCAAGAGTTGCCTCAGGTAGTCCATACTTGTTATCTTGTCTATTACTCAGCATACTTGGGTTTAAGCTTTTATTATGCATACTGATGTTTTGAGTATCTCTTCTTTAGGAAATAAAGCAATTAAAGCAAAAGAAAATAGCTGAGCTTTCTGATGAAATGAGAGAAGCTGAAGAAGAGTACCAAAAAGTCAGGGATCAATTGCAGAAGGCTGAATCACTTCATAGTGAGAAAAAACAGCTTAATGCAGTTGCCTGCGACAGCACAGAAGATGAAGAAAACATCACAGACGACACCAAAATTGATTCCAAGGAAATTGTAGACACCCCTTGTGACTCTGAAAAACCAATCAAAAGAAAATCATTGCCACATTATATGACTCCCACTGCTATCAGTCGCCTGAGGCACAGTGCTTCAGAAAGACAAAATCACTATGCAGCAAGAGTTTTAAGGTCTGGGACTAGAAGCTCCATGCAACTTTCAGCTTCACAGTCCCTTAGTTTTCTTGAGCCTCGTCTTAAAGCAGTTCTACGAAGTGCAAGTAGACATCATCCTGATAAAGCAGCGAAGAATGTTCCCACTGAGACTCAAAACTGCAGTAATGTAGAACCTAAACCTGCCTCCTCAGCGCGTAATAAACCAGTGACACCATCACTTGTGAACAGCAAGCCTACTTACATTCGTCATAGGAGAAGGATGTCAAATCTTATCTGATCCAAAATTCTTGTTTGCTTACTTTACATAATCATTATGAGTGTGATCATTCTCAGATCCTTCCTAGGACTTTTTCTTTTTCGGACTGCAAGTCATGCTTTTCTGGGTGATATTACAGGACTTGTTGGTTGATTTGTTAGCTTTTTTTCAAGTTTGTTAGCTGTGATTAACAGCTTATTAGGTATCCACTATGAGTTACATGTGTGTTGGGTGGATAACTCTTTTAGACTGAAAGGCTATCTTTTTTATGTGTAGCCCAAAGTTTGATGTATGACATAGGGAGGAAAAGGGTATAAATCTGTATGTTGGATTTTTGTTTTACTGGTTTTTGAAGAGTGTAACTAAAATAGACATAAACTTGTAAAATATTGACTGATATATAAAAATAAAATAGTTTGGTTTGCTGATTAACACTTTTAGTTGCATCTTTAGAATATTTTGACGAAACCAATGCTTATTACTTATTCTTGATGACTTTTTGGTGTATCTTTAGAATATTTCATTATGTAAGATACTTATTGATATTTTGCCATCTTATAACATGCACACGGTTTTTCTTGTTCAGTATTTACAAGCCAGACACTTAGAAGTAGAGCAGAGAGTAAGAAAATCCCTACCCTCAAGTACCCTCACTATCGTATCTCTTAATTATGAAAGCTATACGTGATAGATTAGTTTTTGCCAAGTTTCGTCTAGACTTTTAAGCTTTAAAGGGATTGTAACGCATTTTTAGAGTTTTGTTGAGGGCTTTTAAACTCAACAAAAAATTTTTATATAAAAAAGTTAAAGCAAACACATGTCATCTCGTTTCAAATGATATGACGTTAAAAGATATACTTTTTTTTTTTCAAGATAAAACAAAATATCTATAACTAATACTAAAGTAGCAACCACTTGGTCATCTTTATTTAAAGTTGTACACGTGGCGCAATTTCATGAAAAAATTTCCCGCTCAAATGTTTTTTTTTTTAAACAAAATGCTAATTAATTATAAACAGATTGTAGCTATTTTTGAGGTAATTAATTTAAAATAAGTACCTATTACTTAGGTGATTTATGTTGATAATAGGTTGTTAGAGTCTTTATAGAAGTTGTTAGCATAATTAAGGTCAATTAATTGAACTTATGAACATTTTAAACTCAAATTTTTTTTACAAAAATTCAAAGATAAATTACTGCGTGCATCGCACGGGTGCTAACCTAGTAATCAAATGAATGTATTCCAATTACATTTGCTATCAATCATCAATTATAAGTTTATTCAAATTAAACCATTTATCTCCATTTAATGGATATAGTCTTAATTAAATACTTCATAACAAATAATTTTGTGAAGTAGTACTCTGTATGACCGTATCACATAAGGTCACATGAGGCATCGTTTGAGCCAATAACTACATACGTTAAAACTTAAAAGCTAAAACTTATTTGTATATAATTTGTAAATTCACATAGTAATTGTTAAGTCTAATTTTTGTTTTCGAGATAGGTACATACTTGTATATGGTTTTTTTTTTTCTTTTACTAGTATAGGTTTGTTATCTTTGCACGAATTTATTTCAATAAGGGGTCGCCCCGGTTGATCTTCATGATCAACATATTATGTTAATCTAGTGCTTACTCATAAAAGCTAACTCATCCTTGTGCATCGTCAGCTGCTTAATCATCAAGAACACAAGCTTAGATCCAAACTCTGTTTATCAATGTTAACATTGGTGTCCAAGCTACTTCCTCCCTCGAAGCTACCATCGACACCACCATCTTCATAATGTCCACCGACACCATCATCTTCGTGATGTCCACCGACACCATCATCTTCCTCTATTAAATAGTCCATCGACACCACCTTCGGCGACAAACGAAAGCCCTAGAAATAAAAGGTGAAATTAAGGGCTTGGTTAACCCCAAAGGATACGGCCGTAGGGGTGATGACCATTTCACCTTGAAATTGATGACCTGAGAAGCTTTGTCAAGGAGCTCTTGGACATAATTCTTGCCAACGTTGGTGGATAAGAAAGATCAATTTATTTACAGACAATGCCATCGCCCATTGCTGGAGTTACAACTAGCTTTTGGCCGTTTGCCCAACACTAATTTTAGTTTCGTAGTAGGCCTTGTACTACACTTTTGTCATTGTTGAGACTTGAGAGAAAGGAGTGATTTTGGGATTTGAGGCTTTGTTCCTAACAAACGTTTTATGTTTGTTGTTAACGCCATCAAATATAATAGTGCATAGTAGTTGGCACTCTGAACACGTCAATACATGTCCAATGACATTACTATTTTTGGCTTATTAAATGAAAAGACACCATCACCCCTATGATTGACATAATATGTTGAACATTACGAGTGAACCACACTCATCCAATCGTATTTTCAAGTTTACAGTGTTGTTTGATCTATAAAAGTGCCTCGAGACCAAACCACGTCAATTCATCAAACCGAACCGCGAACCCCTCTAGATTTGAGTCATCCCCTATCGAATAGAACATCACAAGAACTCCCTCCCAACACTCGAAAAAAACCCAGAACCCAGAAACAAAAATGGGGCTACTCTCATCATCTTCATCTTCAACCTCACATCAAAAAGGGGTTGTAATCACAGTACCAGTCCTAGTTCTTGCTCTTTCTACTGCCGCCATTTTTCTCTTCTTCTTGCTTTCTTCTCTCTCTTCCACTTGCTCTTGCCCTTCTTCCCCTGCTATCACCGAAACATTTCCCGAATCTTCTGGAAAATCCGTGGAAAGGGTTTCGACATCAATGGAAGATATTGATTGGGTTCGAGATCAGATCCGAATTAATGGATTGCATATGAAGGATAATGTTTTGCGTAAAGGGATTAATCCTCGTACTAGGGTTCAACAGCTTGAAGATCTCCGACAGTATGCCCCCTTTTTCTCTTAATTTGATTTAGGCTTTTGGTTTATTTGATTGAATTTATGAAGTTATTAGAATTTTGAGGTAATGCTGGATCATATTTGCTTCTTCAAGTTCAAAATTGATTCTTTTGTTTGGGGTATGGGGAGTTGGAAAGGACAGTGATGTAGACGAGATTTGATCCGATGTCTCGGGTTACACCCCCGAGACTTAAATTATCTAATATAGTAGGTGTAATATCAAATTTGAGTGATTTTTGGTTGCTGTTAAGATGCCAGATTATTGTGCAATTTATCAAGGTTTAGGCTTATGATTTGCAATATAAACATGTTTTAAGTGGTTGTGAAGGGTTATTGAAACTAGTGATTATGTTTCTTTGCTTACATTGTGTGATCACTGAGATCAGTGATCATGTTATGTTGTTTGTAATTTATAATTACTGTTTCTTGCATAGCTAATCTCATTATTGATTGAGTTATGATAGAGTATAAAACATATTCTTGGGCCTCAACCATCAGCTTAAGCTTTTGGTTGAGTTGGTCCTTTAACATGGTATCAGAGCCAACGTGACATAAAGGTCACGGGTTCGAATCTCATCCACCCCCCACTTTCAAGTGGAATATTAAGCGCTGGGTATGAGGAGGGCCCATGCTGCATCCACACTTCTAGCCCAAACAGGCTTTCGTGTGAGGGGGCGTGATAGAGTATAAAACATATTCCTGGGCCTCAACCATCAGCTTAAGCTTTTGGTTGAGTTGGTCCTTTAACAAGTTATAATGGCCGGAAACTAAGAGCATTCACGGTCTGATTGATACGCGGTACTGAGAATGATATTACTTGTAACTTTGTTAGGAATGGACCATTACTACCACCAACAAGTACAAGCTGTTAGTGTAATCAGTCATTTCATGCTAGGATTACCTTCCAGAAATTTCTATCCCGAGCGGCTGAGTGATAAATGTTGTACAAAAGTTGCTCTTGCAGTTATGTTATATGGCTTGTTGCCTCATGTTCGATTGAATGCACCAGTCCTCTTTAATGGTTTGTGCTTATAATGTTTGATCAGTCATGAAGCTCTCTAGCAGAGGATGTGGGGTTTTTAGAATTTGCTTTGCATTCTTTTGTCATAATGTCTGCAATCGTATTCTGTATCTATTTAAGTAGCTAGAATTTCAAACAAACCGCTGTATATGTTTCAGGTACAAGGGTATATCTCATTATGAAGGGGATGAGGCCAACAACCACACTGCTCTACCCTGCCCTGGTGAGCTCCTCGTTGAAGAGCATCATAGTAACTATGGTGAACCATGGGCTGGGGGAAGAGATGTGTTTGAATTCCTTGCGGAGTCTGCTCACCTTAGCCCTGATGCTCAGGTTCTTGAAATTGGATGTGGGACACTTCGAGTGGGATTGCACTTCATTCGGTACTTGAAACCTGAACACTTTCACTGTCTTGAGAGAGACGAGTTATCTCTTATGGCGGCTTTTAGATATGAGCTTCCATCTCAGGGTCTGTTGCACAAGCGCCCTATTATTGTAAAAGGTGAAGACATGGATTTTAGCAGATTTGGATCTGAGGTTACATATGATCTGATATATGCTAGTGCAGTTTTCCTGCATATGCCTGATAAACTTGTTTGGGTTGGGTTGGAACGATTAGCATCTAAATTAAAGCCAGATGGCCGAATTTTTGTCTCCCACAACGTAAAATTCTGTTCTCGTTTAGGTGGAGATGAGTGTACAAAGAGACTTTCAAGCTTAGGGCTCGAGTATGTGGGAAAGCACACACATGATAGTCTGCTTTTCAATCATTATGAAATTTGGTTTGAGTTTCGGCGAGTGAAAGCTTAAATAGTTTGATAGGCAAAATCACAAAAGCTTATAGCGTATGGTACTTTTTGTCATCTGATTGGAAAATGAGGTCCTTTGGGGTTCTGGTGTATTTAAGTATATTATTGAAATCTGGGGGATCCATAAAAATGACAGGATGCTCTCTGTGCATTATCTCGTGAAGATATGTACTTTAAGCTGACTAGCAACTCTCCAAACACAAGGAGCTAGTTTTTTCTCTTTCGGTGCTGCACCTTGTTTTCAGAATAAGAACTGGAAATTCTGGTGGCTGTGCAGTAATTTTCATTTTTCACTTACTGTAAGTTATGTGTAATTTTTTGTAGATTGTACAATTAATTTAAACAAATATTTGATTCATATATTGAAATTTGATTTTCATATTCATGTGTCCCTTTTGCTATACTTCACTTTGCAGAATGATATTTACAAGCTCATATGTTTCATAGCTTGTTTTGACGCTGTAAATGTAGATGGGTTTCATGGTTTTTAACCTGTTTATATTTAGATCTTGAAGGTCACTATATGGCATGCAGTCTATTCCCTTTAATTACAAACTTCTCGTAGATGTTGCTCTATGTTGAAATTTTGGAATATTACCCTTTCAAATGTTACAGGTGCTCTAGTGTTGCCATTGGAATGATCATCGTATACCTGTTACTCTCTGAATGTTTTGGTAGCCTTGACTTCACATTTGAGGCGCTTTTCAGTAATAAGGAAACATCTGTGCATGATTTTTCAAGGAAGGTTAAAGAATTCTGAGTAGAGTCCCCCATTTTACTGCTCCCAATATGACCAATACATCAAAAATTCCCTCGAGTACGAAATTGCAGGGATCATTTCACACAGAATACAGCTTAAGTGTGTTTCATGATGCTTATACATAGCTTTTTTTGTGTATACATGGCATTAGATTTTCATAGTTCAGGCCAGATTTTCTTACATAAGCTATTTGTTGGGTCATGCTTGGAGTTGATACCTATTACTTTATACATCAAAATACCTATTAAGGTTGATACCTATTACTTTATACATCAAAATACTTCGTGATATTGAAGGAACTGTTTAAAAACAAGTATCAATATAGCAAGTCATCTAGTTTATAGAAATGTGTAATGATTTTAAGTTTGGTCTTTCGAACAGATTATAATGCAAGGTATGTAGCCATTTATGCAAAGCTTAGGGGTAAAAAGGAATTCTTTTGAACACCCAACCAGACATAAAGCTTAGATACGGAGGCAAGGAAATATGGCACTCAACATCTATCAAACAACACCCACTCCAATGCAAAAGAGAAGTATATCCCACCAAATACTCACTTCATGGACAGGTCTATCGAGTTTCTTTTCGGTTTCTCTCATGATTTCGAGTATGTTTTCTGTTTCTCTCTCTTGACGAAGATGAGAAGATAATTTTAGAGAGGGGTAAAAGCTCAACTCAATTTAAGTTACTGTGGTTAAGCAGTGACAGAGCAAAGAATAATGTTACTATGAGTCGTTACTTTGTTTGTTTATACAAGTAGGCATAATATCATAACTTTTATATGGAAAAACATCATTTATTTGTCTGGGCACGGACTCCGAAGCTATTTTATTACGAAATTTCCATGTGTTAAACATTCCAAGTTTAGCACAAATATAAATTTGGATTTTCCGGTAACAAAATATGACTTGTCATTTTAGCGTGTACACCACATATGTCGATGTAGAAAAACTCTAAATTATTAAAATATATGTATTCTATGTCTTTTGTTATATTATGTCATTCCGAAGAACTTTTACATTTTTGGAACAAGTGGTGTTAGCATAATTACCTTACTTAAGAAAGTGCACTTAAATAACTAACATCAGCTCACTTCACGCCGTCATTTTTGGATTGTGGTCCGAGCAATTAAAGAGAAGTAGGGAGGGGCTATTCCAAATCCGAGTCTATCACTTTTATGAAAATACTTTTATGAAAATACTAGTTTAGTCCTGTGCGTGCAAAAATTAAATAGCTATTATTTGTTTTTTTTTTTGTTTTTTTTAACAAAACGAAGCTATAATCTGTTTAAAATAGTTGTTATAATTCTTTATTTGAAAAATAATGTAATCATAATTTCATTAATTTATTTTGAAAGAAGTATCATATTTATTAATCATTACAGTTAAGAGTACAGTCAGGTACTCAATTATTCTATTTTTCACCTTTTAGGTACTCAATTTTTTTTGCTCACCTTTTGGGTACTCAAATTTATTTCCAGGTGAACTAACTCACCACTAACTATAAATAATTAAAATATTAATTTTTTTTAAAAAATATTTTTCTTAACCAACAGTAAAAAAACTAGTCGTTATATTCTATTTAATTAAAGGGGTTTAAACTTGGCAAAAACAATTCCATGAACACACCAGCAACAAAGTAGCATCAAAACAGGAAGATTCACCATGTTTTCTTAACCAAAATTCATCCAAAACGATTTTCCCTGATTCAAAAAAAAAATCAGCAAAATAGAAGCTGCTGCTTCTTCTTCTTCCAGTGTTCCCTTCTGCACTGCAGTAGCAGTATACCAGCAACACATTATCATCAAAACAGGTTGATTCACCATTTTTTTTAGGCAAAATTCTTCAACAACGTTTTTTCCCAGAATAAAAAAAAAATCAGCAAAACAGTAGTTGGCTAGCTGCTGCTTCTTCAGTTCTTCCCCTCTGTACTGCAGTCAAGAGTGATCAAGGACAAGACAAAAAATTCAGAAGAAAAAATCAGCCTCCTACAAAGTGCAAAAATAGAAACATTAAGCTCAAATCATGGAATGCTGCCACTGTAACAGAAGGGCTATGCATAGGATATCAAGGACAATCAAGCATCCATTCATGAGGTGTAAAATTTGTGAGAATTACAAATGCTACAATGGATGCAATTACTTTGAATGGGTTGACATGCCTCACCCTACTGAATTGAGGGATGAAATGTTGTTGATGATTAACAACAAATTTAAGATGGAACACGAATTATTCAAGCTGAAGAAGAAGGTTCAACATCAAAGCTTTGTTATTATTTTTCTAATTTTTGTTGTTGTTAGCTTGAGTGTGTGGGGTGTACCTTCATAGTCTTGTAATGGTTTCAGTAGTAGTAGTTGCTTCAGAATTAGGCTTCCTTTTGTTTTCAGTTTGCTGCAGCATTGAACATGTAATGAGAAAATGAATTTAATTGAATAAATAAACAAAAATTTAACTATATTTGAGCTTTACATACCCATGAATCTCTCTAAAATCCATTTGGGTAGGTGTATACACCAATACCCTTTTCATACATAGGCACATATGCTTGAGATTCTTGGGTTGGGACTTGTTGCCTTGGTGTTGAGGAACTTCCTCCCTGACTCTAACTTTGCTGAGTGTGTGTTGGGACATGCTGCCTGGGTGCTTCTGTTTGTGTGCTCCTCTGACTAGGCTGCTTTGGTGGCCTTATGCAAGTTGTCTTCTTGTGCCCAGCTTCTTCATAGTTGCTGCATTTGTGGACAACACCCTTCTTGCCAAGCTTGATTCCCTCTGTTTCTCCCATGGAAGGCCTTCTCTTTGTAGTGGGTCCGTGGTTCACTTTCTTCAACATAGTGGGGATGATTGGTACTTGTGATGTTTGAGGCCATTCATCTGGTCCATTTAGAGGCTCTAATGGACATTAGTAAGCCTTTAGGTAAGTGTCTTTGGTGAACCAATGGAAAACATAATGCTCAGGTTGCTCCATAGCTTTCCAAACTGTTGTGACAGCATGGTGGCAAGGAACACCACTTATCTGCCAAGCATTGCAGCTACAAGTCTTCTCTAGCAAGCTCACCACATACCTTATTTGAGTTCCCCCTTCCCTGACTCCATAGGAGAAATGACCATCCCAATATGCAACCCAGCCCCTAGCATCAATTTTGACTTTCTCAAGCTTCTTCTGAATTCTAGGGCAGATTGTAATGTCTTTGCCTTGTATGAAGTCCCTTTTCTTGTGCATCCTCTGCATCAAACCCTCTCTTATGTCTTCAAGCATAGTAATAACTGGTTTATGCCTTGATGCCAATATGTATGCATTAAAGACCTCATTCATATTATTGTCTATACTATCACATTGTGATTGTGAGGTAAAGAAAGCTCTCACCCACTTAACATAATTCCTTTTCCTCAAGTCTTGGGCAGCCTTTGAATTGATCTCAGAGAATAACTCCATGTTTGCCTCAAATTCATTATCTGTTGTGCTCTTTGCAATCTTCCAAAACCCTCTCCTATATTGCATCCCACCCCCAAAGACAGTCCTGAAGTTGCAATACACAAGCCTTGCACAACATCTAGTTTCAGCTTTAGGGAAGATAAGAGAAACAACCTTTAAAAGGCCCTTTTTCTTGTCATACATGATGGTGTATCCAAAGCCATCAATAATGCCCAAGTCATCTACCAAAATTTCCAGAAACCAAGACCATGAATCTGTGTTTTCCACCTCCACTAATGCCTATGAAATAGGAAACATTTTATTGTTCCCATCTCTGCCTGCAACCACCAACAGTTGCCCACCAAAAGGCCCTTTCAAAAAACACCCATCAATCCCAAAAAAGGGTCTACAGCCTGCTAAAAATCCATTCCTAATTGCATCAAAACAGACATACATTCTTTCAAATTTGCCAAAGCCCCATTTTAAACTTCATAGTGTTCTTAGGATTAGACCTAAGAATTTCAGCTGCATACCTGTGCAACAAAGAGTATTGCTCCTCATATTCACCTATAATCAGTTCATGAGCCTTTCTTCTAGCCTTAAGAGCCAGCCACATGCTAATTTTCACACCCCACTCAGTTTATATAGTGTCAACTATTTCCTGACATTTCAAATATGGATTCACCTTAAACTTGTTGTGATATGTTTTTGCAACCCAAGATGCCCTGATTTTCTTAACCTTTGGTTGCCTACCACATGAATGTTTAGGAATCAAGGTTTTCACAACCATAGTGTCATTTTCATTCTTTTTTGAAGCCCAGATGTACCATGGGCAGCCCTTGTCAAATGACTTGCACTTTGCACCCATCCTATCCCTTGCATTTCTAGTATACCCCACATCCCTCCCTTGACAAACACAGTAGTTAGTGATAACATTTCTGAAATCCTTAGCATCCTCAAATTGTTGCCCCAATGTAAAATGCCTCCCATCATCATTTCTCACATTCACACTTTGCATATGCCTAGAGTGTGTGACCCCCTTCTTCCTTTTGCCTTAGGAGGTGTAGTTATGAGATTGGCACAATACTCCTCATCTTGGTTTTCAGCTGGGCTACCAGGGTAGTCCTCTTCAGTGTCACTTCTAGAACCCTCTTCACCTAAACACTTTTCTGATGACCTCTCCTTAAGCCTTATGATAGACTATGTTT